CCGTTTTTTTAGAAGAATTATGAATATTTCACAATTTTATGGTCATAAAAAAGGGACATCAGAAATAATCCCCACTGTGGATGATAACAGTTCTATCCTTCATAACAGTTTTCTTATTTATGAAAGAAGTCTCAATTAGTACTTGTTTGCTTCAATCACTCACAATGAAAATTTTAATGGCAATTTCAGTTGTTCTTTCAACATGGCATCTGTGCTTCACCAGTGGTACATGATGGAAGGCGTGGCTTTATTATAGCCGTCTGTATAAAATAAATGTTTCATATAAGATTTTGGAGATATGAGGTACAGTTATATCTTATGGGTGCTGTGTACCACGGGTGGCTCACGACGTCCAACAGAAAACATGCATATGTACCACCGGTGGCGCACGATATATATATATATATATCACATGTAGTAATATATATACATGTAATTGCATTGGGGTCGATGTTCTGTAGTTACGCCACTACACCCATCACCAACTAATGGACTAACTTTTTACCATAGAAAAGTGAGCTTGACAATCACATTATAAAGCCCCCACGGCGAGCATGTTCGGTGAATGGGATTCGAATCCGCGGCCCTCAGATTGCGAGTCGAGTGCCCTAACAACTTAGTCATACCAGGCCGTATTGTGCAGTATTAAACACGCACCTATTACTCTGACTGTCCTATCAGACCTATAAATTAGACACCCCTCGATCTAATTTTTAAAAATTTAATTTTTAAGAGTGTTGTGGGTCACTTTCTGACACCACTCTATTGTAAACCACTTCTGACGTCACTTTATTACGTGTCCACTTTGTCATGAACATGCTATACTCGGACGTCGTTTTCCCTTAAACTTTATCAAGACTTTCCTTATTTCTATCAGAAATGAACCCATACCAGGTTTAAACATAACAGATTTCTGTTTATTACTATATCATTTAGGTTTACAACTAATTTTTGTTCTTATTGACAGCATGTTTTACTGCGCTTCGTCCTCTCTCAATCACTTGGTTTTTCTGATCGCCTTGTCATGTACCGTCCCTAAACCACGCAAACACCCGTTTTTCTTATACCGGATCAAAACGTTTCATAATCATAGGAGTTCTTGTAGCTTTCAAAAAAGCTGATCTTAGAAAGGCGGCTACTATTCCAATAATTATCTAATCACTTAGCGCTGTAACCTATTAATCCCTTAGAGACTGACTAAAAGTCGGTTGCTTTCTCATTTCCTCAACTCCAACCGAGTCTTACACCGAATTTCATAACAAATTATCTTATCGCTGACCCACAAGAGATTTAGGTTTCTTTTGTTTAGGAACTTCGCGCAAAACTACACGAAAGTTATCTGCGCTAGCCGTCTCTAATTTATCAGTGACAGACTAGAGGGAAGGCAGCTAGTCAACACCACCTACCGCCAACTCTTGGGCTACTATTTTACCAACGAATAGTGTAATTGACCGTTACATTATAACTCCACCACGGCTGAAAGACTAAGCATGTTTAGTGAAGGAGATTCTAATCCACGACCTTCAGATTGCGAGTCGAGCACTTTAGCCCACCAGAGGACGTCATCGAAAGATCATTTGGCCTCTTTGTTATAAGTTCAGTGTAGTACTCAGTTGGGCAGCGATAAGCTTACAGACTTACAATTATAAGATTTGGGGTTCGATTCCCCGTGCTGAACAGATAGCCTTTATGTAGCTTTGCAGAAAGGAAACAATAACGTATCTTAATTTTTTTTTATGAACTGCATTATAAAATCTTTCAGCTCTGTTTGAATGGCGTAACACTAGAGTCAGTAGCCATAGTTGTGGGGAATATCTAAAACATAACCACATCATGAGAAAATATACCCTTGTGACGTAATTAATTCATTCAAAAACACCAGTGTCATGTAAGATGCCTTTTCTTAAATGATGGAAGTAGAACGTTTTTCTTGTGGGCTGTATGTGATATTGCTTTATATATTAAAAATATTAAACAAGTTTACAGTGGATTTTAAATATAAAAACTTTCACTGGGTTAATAAACTCAGTTTTATTTATATAACATACGACTTTATCTTTTATTATGTTACTAATCAAAGTTTTATTTATTATTTGTTTACTTATGTACTTACGCCCCCCAGTGACACAACGGTATGTCTGCGGACTTACAACGCTAGAATCCGGGTTTCGATAGCCGTGGTGAGCAGAGCACAGATAGCCCAATGTGTAGCTTTATGCTTAATTTACAAACAAACAAACATATGTACTTACACGATTTAAAAAGTGTAAATAACTTGATAAAGAGAAGCTGGCACATAAATACATCTAGGCATTACTGTAGCAAGATACCCAAATAAAATCATGCTTATTGCGGAAACAAAATCAGCTCAACCACTGTCTCTCAAAAGCTATCCACCACTAATTTCACCACTGCCAAATCATTCAGAAATGCTGGACTTTGTCCAGATGAAGCTGTCGTGTAAGCTGCCAGGGTACCGGATAATTGCATCCAATATATATATCTTAGCATCTGAGATTACTTGAACGCGTAAAGAAAGAAATCCTTTCCTGCGGACATACAAGTGTTCATCTTCGGCAGACGATTGGATGGATATTTGGCATCCATCAACTGTCCCCAGTATTTTCGGCAAACTACATAATTCATAAAAGTCATGAATTACCTTCCCATTTTCAAGTACTTTATACAAATTGATACATTGTTTAACATGGTCACACAAAGGACTAAACATCTTGACACAGTAGCTTTATTTATGCCATGACAGTCGCTCAGCACCTGAAAACTGCCAATTGAGTGAAACCGTAATAAATTTAACACTTGCAGAGAAGTAGAGAGTGACATAATTTCGTGCCTGAAAATTTGATAAAGCAAGTCGCATATATTTGTAATTTCTTAGCTAAACAGCTTATACTTTGCTATTAATTCGGAATAGATGAAAAGCTCAAAGGGATTTCATTGATCCCTAAACATTCTGGCGACGATCAAGTAAAATTAGCACCATTGCAAATGTCTTTTCTTTGTCTTCACTCTTTTCTGTATGCTAACTCTGATTTTATGATGAAAAAAAGAGCACTTGCGGTTTTCCCAAGCAATCACAGATTTTAGTGGAATACCTATGATATTGCAGCCTCCGACAAATCTGTGATGCCCTCATTAAACACCAATGTCACTTGAAATCTCACTGAGTTTGTTTGGAATTAAACCCAAAGCTACACAATGGGCTATCTGTGCTCTGCCCACCACGGGTATCGAAACCCGGTTTCTAGCGTTGTAAGTCCGCAGACCTACCGCTGTGCCACTGGGGGGTGCACCTCACTGAGACAGCTAAATCTGTGATGCCCTCGTGAAACACCAATTTCACTTGAAACCTCACTAAGACAGCTAAATCTGTGATGCCCTCGTGAAACACCAATTTCATTTGTAACCTCACTGAGACAGCTAAATCTGTGATGCTCTCCTGAAACAACAATTTCATTTGTAACCTCACTGAGACAGCTAAATCTGTGATGCTCTCCTGAAACAACAATTTCATTTGTAACCTCACTGCAACAGCTAAATCTGTGATGCTCTCCTGAAACAACAAGTTCATTTGTAACCTCACTGAGACAGCTAAATCTGTGATGCTCTCCTGAAACAACAATTTCATTTGTAACCTCACTGAGACAGCTAAATCTGTGATGCTCTCCTGAAACAACAATTTCATTTGTAACCTCACTGAGACAGCTAAATCTGTGATGCTCTCCTGAAACAACAATTTCATTTGTAACCTCACTGCAACAACTATTCCTCGCAGCTCGCTTTCATAAAACGAACTCTATGGTTGAAATTTCTGTCGAGTGGAAACAAATAAAAAACCGAAACAATAATATTAGGCTTCATGTAGCGGTGGAGTGTATATTATATGTAAGGTATCGCGACATATATTGTACTCACACAGCGATTCTGTATTTATATAAGAATTTCAAGAATATGCAGTTTTGGCACAATTTACTTATTCTTAGGGCGCTCGACTCGCAATCTGAGGGTCGCGGGTTCGAATCACCGTCACACCAAACATGCTCGCCCTTTCAGCCGAGGGGGCGTTATAATGTGACGGTCAATATCACTATTCGTTGGTAAAAGAGTAGCCCAAGAGTTGGCGGTGGGTGGTGATGACTAGCTGCCTTCCTTCTAGTCTTACGCTGCTAAATTAGGGACGGCTAGCGCAGATAGCCCTCGTGTAGCTTTGCGCGAAATTAAAAAACAAACAAAAAAAAAACAACAACTTATTCTTGTAAATTATTCAGCCATCAAATTGTTTAAGATACTAAACCGGTATAACTCAGAGACAAATAGTAAACCGAATAATAGATTAGGCTTCACATGTAAATAAAATTGACGTTAGTAAAGCATCGAATTTAAGTGTTTTTTTAATATTTTTTAATATAATTTCTGTGAAGAAGTGAAAACAGAGAAATCAAGACCGAGATGCGGACTTTTCTCATTTGTTCTTACTATGTTTAAATGAATTGTATCCGTACTAATATAATTCAGCTATTACTATTGTGTATGTTTTCAGCGTGCAACTTATTACAAATTAATGAAATTTGTTGTGATAAAAATAGATAAAGAACTAATTTATGAATAAGTCGATACACTCAAGAATCCAATAATGTCTTCCAACTCAAGAGGCTGAGTACTTGTAGACTCCAACTCTTGATAGTGCTATTGAATTTCCAATCCAATTTCTATATGTTTAATTATTTTAATGCTTTACCTTTTGTGGTTCGAACCAAAATATATTCCAACGAAGTTATACAAACATATTCTAATATCCTGTTTCTGAAAGCTCTTGTGAAAGTTAAAATAAATCCATCAGATACAACTACTAGATTCAAAATTGTACATAAGTTGTTTATACAATATATATATATATATATATATGTTGTTTAATTAAAATCTAACTTGTTCTAGCTACAACAATATAAATGTGGGTATATTCAACCAGAGTTTCTCAGAGGAGTCAGAAGTGAATTGAATTATAAGCATATTTTCTAGCTAAAAATCTAACTGTCGTTTGAAATAAATTTTATTTTAAAAGAAACGGTTTACTCTGCTTGTAAGCAAAATGGTGAAATATAGTTTAGATGGTAAGTATTTCAATTTCCGCTTATTCAATTGTTCAAATATTATATGCAATGGTTACAAATATATGTATATATATATATATTGTATATATATTTTTCGTAGAACTATGTGTTATCTCCAAAACGACATATATAATAAATTAAAGTTGATAAGGATAGACAAAGACAAATCTTAAAGAAATTAGTTTATTTTACAAACTTTGTAGAAGAAATATAAGAGGGTTTAACTGATGAGCGATATCAACATTTATTTTTAAACAGGTCAGATCATTTCCTGTTAGTTTTAGTTCATATTGCATGGTTTTTATTTTAAAAGTTCGAATTAACATATAATTTGTATTGAATAATTATTACAAATAACATAAAACTATGAAAAAGTGTTTGCTATTAACCTGAAATGCTACATAGTGTCTCAGAATTCTAATACAATCGATACTGCAAAAGTGGATATTTATTAGAGGCAAAAGTAAAATAAGACGGTATAAGACAGAAACAATCAAGTGATTCTATAAACTAATATTGCTCTAAATGATGTATGTTTATTGTTAGAATAATTTTTCATTTTTCAGCAAACTGCGGCATCCGGGGAATAGTGTTTTTGGTGCTTCTGTTTTTAACTGTAGCTGATACTCAGTTGTTTCCTAGAGCCTTCTTCAATCGACTTAATATTCCCTGTGTCATAACAGTGGGTGAAGAAAAAGTTAACCTGACGTCAATCATGTCTGAATTGACAGAAAAAGCTCGAGCCAATAAGGCAGCTGCTCGACATACTGACACCAATTACGTAAGATATTTAGCATAATAATTAATCAAATAATATAATACAGTGTATGATATGAATTGATATATGTCTTAGGTACTGAAAATTATACTTAAAAGATTCGTGACAAATTCTAACCACGAACTGAACTTGCGGAGGTTTTTGAATTACTACAGTTTCTGTAATTTGCACACTTCTTCGTCTATTATTAATCGTTTTAGTTAACCACTGTATTTTTTATCTTAATTACGAGCAATATTTAGTATATCGGTTGAATCATAATAACTTTTTAAAGGTTGAAATTAATGTTAAGAATAAAAAATATCCAATTCATAACATTTAATAGCGTCCTCCTGTGGGTAAGCAATAAGTTTACGCACTTATAACACTAAAAACCGAAGTTCGATTCCTTATGGTGGGCAAACCGCAGATAGCCTATTGTGTAGCTTTGTGCTGAAACAACAACAACAGCAATTAATGCTAACCTCCTTATCTCGAGCATGAGCAACAGCACTTTGAAAATTATCTCAGAAAGTTTTCCATAATATCTAATAAGTACAAATACTTTAAAGAAATCCATTGATAAACATTTGCCCATCAAATTCAGTTTTGCGATGAGAATAAACGTTTTGAATGGAACTGTTAGTTGTGATTCAGATAGTTTTAGATAATTAAATTTATAAATATTCTTAATAGTTATTATTTCACCCTTAGCATGAATTATTTACCACCATTAGTCGAGAACACATCACATGGTATGAAACATTTCAATTTTTACTTGAAAGCTGGGCAACAAAACACATCAGTGTTCTTTTTTGGTTCTTCTTTTTGATATTATAGTTTTATGATGTTGTGAATATTTCATTTCTATTTCCAGCGCCAGGAAGCCTTCTACGATCCAACTTTTTCGGAAAGTTTTATAGCAAGAGATGCTCTTTCATGGCTTCCGATACCTAGTCAACAACCTCATGCTGAAGTAAGCACTTTTAAAATTTCTCTAGATTTCATTACATGAGAACCAATAATAAAATTTTGTATTAAAAAAGGTACGCTTATGCGTCACAACAACAACAGAAGTTGCACTATATACTTATTACTTATAGTACTTATAGTTATCTATAAGTTAGTCATATAATGTGAAACTGCGTAAAAGTCATAAGTGAGCATGTAAAACAGTTGCATTTTTTTTTAGAATAAAATACCGACATTGAAAAATGTAAAATTTTCCTTCAAACCCATACTGTTCAAGTTGAATCAGGCTATAGAACACGCTCTGGCAAAATGAAAGTAATTAAGACTCTTATTACCAGGTGAATTCTTAGTGAATTATACATGTTAGTTAATAGAACTTCTAAAGAAGAAACTTATTATGCATGAGAGAGGTTCGTGTGTCTTTAATACTGAAAGAAATCCGATAAAGATATATCCAATTCGTGATGACAGTGTTTCTTATCACGTAAGTTTAGCTTTTCAGAAACTTATTTCAGCCCATAAAAACTCAGTTGTCAAAAACTCTGTGTGAAAAACATGGGAAATTCACGGAAAGAGTTATAAGTCTTAATTTTTAGGGTTGAAATACATAGAAAAAAGCCTTCCAGTGGCACAGTGGTATGTCTGCAGATTTACAACGCTAGAAACCGAGTTTTGATACGCGTGGTGGGTAGAGCACAGATAGTCCATTGTGTAGCTTGGTGCTTAACTTCAAACAAACAAACAAACGAACTTAGAAAAAAATCATATTTACTATATCTTTTCATTTTTTGTTCGTGAAACAGTTACTCAGTATGTTGCCTAGATTAAATTCTGAACTTATGTAAAACGCCCGGCATGGCCAGGTGGATAAGGCGCTCGACTCACAATC